CGGTAGCATCAGGATTTGCAACCCACCTCTGATCTACACAGTATATATACCAGTGATGGTGAACCTTTTTGGCACTGAGTGCCCAAACCGGATTGCGTACGTGCTGGAGTGCCGAAAAACTGTAGACCAGCTGGCCAGTGCGCATGTGTACGCCAGCCACCTGGTCTTTGGGTTTCCGGCATGTACATGCGTGCGGCCCAGCTGATCTTTGCGTGCGCCAGAGCACCGGAAACCCAAAGACTCAGTAGCCACAAAATGCATAGAATTATAATATTCAGAAATTCCAGAAAGTTATTGGAATAGTACCCCCCTGTATTTGAAAGGTACCAGGTTAGGGAGAGTCGAGTTCAAGAATGGTTAGGTTAGCTTCTCAGCTGGTCTTTGGGTTTCCGGCATGCACATGCGTGCGGCCCAGCTGATCTTTGCGTGCGCCAGAGCACCGGAAACCCAAAGACTCAGTAGCCACAAAATGCATAGAATTATAATATTCAGAAATTCCAGAAAGTTATTGGAATAGTAACCCCCTGTATTTGAAAGGTACCAGGTTAGGGAGAGTCGAGTTCAAGAATGGTTAGGTTAGCTTCTCAGCTGGTCTTTGGGTTTCCAGTGCTCTGGTGCATGTGAAGACCAACTGGCCAGAACAGCTGGCAAGAGCGCACGTGCCCACAGAGAGGACTCTGCGTGCCACCTCTGGAACATGTGCCATAGGTTCGCCCTCACGGATATATACTATACTCTAGTAAGATGTAATCTAGCTTCAGCCTATCTTAAACTGACTCCTTCCAAAAATCTGCTATAGGAAATCCATTGGTGGGCTACATGGAAATACAGGTAATCTTCAACTTACAACAGTTCATTTAGCGACTGTTGGAAGTTAGAACAGCACTGAAAAAAGTGACTGTTTTTCACACTTATAACCATTGCAACATCTTTATGTTCATGTGATCAAAATTCAGACACTTGGCAACTGACTCATACTTATGACAGTTGCCATGTCCTGGGGTCTTGTGGACTCTTTTGCAACCTTCTGACAAGCAAAGTCAATGTATACACCAGATTCACTTAACAACCATTTTATTAACTTAACAATTGCAATGATTCATCTAATACTCTGTTTCCCTGAAAATAAGACCTGCCCGGATAAAAAGCCTAATCGGGCTTTTTAGCGTATGCGCTAAAATAAGCCCTCCCCGAAAATATTGCAACATAGCAGCAGCCATGAGGTGACCACGCTTGCCACCTCCTGAACCTCAAAAATAATAAGACCTCCCCAAAAATAAGGCCAAGCACTTATTTTGGGGTCAAAAGAAAATAAGACCCTGTCTTATTTTTGGGAAAACACGGTAGCTATGGCAAGAAAAGTTATAATGGGGCAAAACTCATTTAACAACTGTCTCGTTTATTTTGGACTCAATAGTCATAAGTCAAGGACTACCTGTATTAAAGGTACTTATTTATTGCTCACCAAAAGTACAGATTTGTAGGATATTTAAATAGTAGTATAGATAGTCCAAAGCAAAGAATATAGACTTGGATTAGGACTGCTCTTTTTTACTAGGAGAAAACAACATTTTAAAATCCTTATAAAGTCATATAAAACAATACTATAATAAAAGCCAGAAGAAGATTTATTTTTCTATTGGCTTGATTAAAACCACTTTCCATTTCAGATGTTGGAACAACTTTATATCACATATACTTGTATTCCTAAATTGCTCTGAGAGTAAACTATCATTAGGGAAAGAAGAAATCAGAGCTATACAGATAAATTGTACTGATAGTTGTATTATAGCTTCATTTTTATCATTATCAAGAAATACAGAATTCTGAAGTCAATCAACATCCTAGATACAAGCAGATCATCTGTCAAAATAAGACCAAGTTTTGAATCCCCAAATGTTAACACCAAATAGTAAATGAGCCCCTATTTGTATAAATAATTACTTTACTACAATAAGGATGCTCATTTATTTAGAGGGAACTGAACACTCTTTGCAAGAAGATATTCATTGGTTTATAACCATCTGTCACTTCCATTCTGCAAGCAGCACACCTCCCCCCCCCTTCTAATTAGTCTTAATTCAGTCACAGATTTGAAAAAGATGTTACTGGAGTTACTGGAAATAGTATCTGATGGTATGAATAATGTCTTTAGGGTTTATAGCAGTTGACTATAGGACCGACTTTGTTCAGTTTTGCTCCCCATCTAAAAGTTGTAATAAAATGCACAGAGTCAGTCTTAGTTTCTACCTACAGGTAGTACAGCTTTCCTGCCGCAGGCAGTGCACGCTTCCTGTAGTCTATTCCAGAATCCAGTTGGATAGTGTTGCAGTGTTTCTGAGCAGAGAAACAAAAGAAAGGTGGCATTACTTCTCTTAATCAAATGTTGCAGATGTAACTTTGTGTTTGTGGTTCTTCCAACAACAACAAAAAACTGTGTGCAAAAATAAGCACCTATATAACATTACTGGCAAAAAAAAAATTGCCTGAAGTAACCTACATAAATAAAAGTTGCATATCAGAAACTTGGTCACAAAAGCATATATGGAGTTTTTATAATTTAAAAAATAACAGCTGGCACCGGGACTCTATGTTTATTACCAAACAGTAAAAGAAGTGCAATATCAAACATTATTTCTAAATAAAAAGCTGGTATTTTCTTCAAAATTTCAATCCGTGCTCCAATTTGTACTTCGTTGCATATCTTCCTGCCATCTATTCTTTTTTTAACTTTTAAAAATAATACACCCAACAGAAACAACACATGTATTAATTGGGTCTCTCTTTGGGTAACTGACTTCTCCATCATAGGACTGATTAAAGCCTACAGGCATGATTGCATTCCATACTCACTAATCACCATCAGGGATTCCTAATCAGCAGCTAAAGAACTTTTAAGGGGAGTCTTTGTATTTTTTTGCCCTTAATTTTCAAAGCTACAATCCTAACAGAATTGGTTTACATTAAAATCTTGATATGATTGTATTTTATCTGATAATGTTTAAAAGCCCACTCTTGTTCCCTCTGAATTGGTAGCACAGTCAAATGGTAGAGCTGCATGTCGTGCCAAAAAAACAATTTCAGTTTCACAGATATGAACTGTGACTTCTTACCTCATTTAGCCTCAAGGCTATGAATTATTCAGCTATTCAAATTATTGGGTGTTGGATTATTAGTTCTACAGAACATAGTATGTGCATGTGTATTGGTCAATCATATTCTAAAGTTTAATTAGGATGGTTTAAAAAGTTCTCTCACACATACCAAGCATACCCAAAAAATCCTGTCTTTTCTTTTGAAAGACAAAACACATTTATAAAGCTTTCCCCTCATCTTAAAAAAGGTAGAAATGGTGTTAATATGACAATCAAACACAGTGGTATTTAAGTTAATATTGCTATTGAATGAAATTTTTCTCCATAAAATAGCAGTGGCTCTCAATGGACTATTTATTTTAAATGTGTTGGGACATTAGTAGAAGATGAGTTAAGTCCCATCACAAAATCCACATTCCTGGTTACACTAACCATGCAGAAACACAAACATTTTTCAAATATATCAACAGAAAGCTTTTCCTTTATGTTGCAATATATCAGATATAGCAGTGCTGCGGTATAATGTCTTGATTCATCAAGGGAAAGGTCTTCTCCTGAAGGATCCAATAGCATTCCTTCCATAACTATCACAAACAGACTTGCTCTTGCTAGCCTCTAGACTGTGTTCCCGAGACTCTGCAATAAATATTCTCTATGTCAATGTTTTTTCCAACTTGGCAACTCTAAATATGTAGGCAGAGATAGGTTTTCCAGAAGTGAACCAGAACATGGTAACAGTGCTAATACAGCAATAGCACATTTACTGTACTTCAAGAAAAAAATCAATAATGTTTTTACGGTTTTTCAAACACCCTCCAAAGAAGAGTAGAAAACTTGGTGACTACTGATGCTTGATTTCTAAAAGTAGCCACCGAAAGTATAGATGAGCATAAGCATTTAATTTACATCTTGCAGTACATTTTTCCATTAAATATATAAATCAGATTTGTCAAACTTCATTAAAAGAAAAGGAAAGGGAACCTACTCCTCCACGGACATTTTACATTGTCCTAGAGTTCCCCTAACGTTTGATCATGGGCAATGTTAACTTGTACTTAATGTAAGATGCAAATCAACCCATCAAGAAGAATGTATGAGAAACACTGGAATTAAATGTCATGGGAATAAATAAAATTTACTGAATTTAATATCCTGTAAAGTCAACAAGTATAGTTTTGGTTCTGGCTGGAAAAACAGCTAATCAAAAGAAGTGGCAACACATGAAATCCTATTGCTGTAGATGGGCGTTTGCTCCTATGATGGCACTTCCTCTTTCTTTCTCCACTCTACTAGGGAAAACTATTTCCATTGAGGAGTTGACAAAATACTCTTGATTATAGTTCGTATAATGTACAAACACTATAGATGAAAATGGATGAAAATATATAGCAGAAAATAACTACCTGCATCTTAAGAGAGTACAAGACGTTGGTTCCAGAAATTTTGATAAGTAACGATTTATAGAGTAAAATTGTTAGAAAAGACATTATGCTCAATTGTGATTCCAATAGCTATTAAATTTAAATGCATTCGATTTTTATATTATAAATAGCTGATATTTAAGAAATTCTTGTTCAAATTCCCAGGATTCACTATTGTAGCTTTAGTTATAAGATTGTGGTCTTGGAAGCTATCTTGAACTCAATTAGTTTTATATGATTTGGGAAAAGATTTCATAGGCCCTATAAAGGGTCAGCTTGATGACTGGACTAGACGCAGAGTGCAGAGATACCTCATTTTTGCTTCAGCAGCTAGATTTTTGGAACAGGGGACATCTTAAAAAAATATCTTTATTGAAGTTGTTTGACTGGTAAGTGACTAAAAATTAGTGGCCATATGATTGTCAAGAGATGAATTTTTCTCCAATAACCAACCATTCCTAGATTTTTAGTGTAGTTTGGGTAGAGAAAAATCCATTTTTTCTGACACTATACATTGTCTTGAATATGGCTTATTGTTTAAAAATAACATGCAAACATTCAAGTAAGCTGATTCAAACCACATCATATTATACTTCCTGAGTTTTAAGTATTTCTGACCAAACAAGTTGGATAAAATCCAACAAAATTCTATTACAAAGAAAAAAGTTTTTTCTATCACAAGAATTGTTTAAATCATGTAATTGTAAGCCTTGGAATGGAGGACTGCTGAAGGAAGTGGGACTTACAAATACTGTTCCTCCCTCACTTTCACTAAGTAGTACATCCTGAGTATACTATTAAGTATGATGATTTCCACAGTGCAATAAGACTCTGGATCCAGTTGATTCCTTCCGTTTCCCATCATATTTTGTGCTCGCTAATCTAATGCACTGTTTGCCTCATTGCTCACCCTTCATATCTTTTACCAATTAATCTAACTCCTGAAAATCTTTAAGTCATCTCTTTCTTTTGGACTTAAAATATAACTGGTGGACACACACTTCAATTCTACACATAGCATACGCTGTGCAAAAGCTCAGTCTAAGTGTATGTTGTGAGGTAACATGCATCTTTTAATCTAATCAAAAGACCAAAGATTCTGATTTATGTGATAACCAAAGTCACAGGAAACAGATTATGTTATGCTTTGCTCATAGCAAACAATAGGAGAGTAGCAATATATTGTTTCCTCCTCATGCATTTGACCTTGTGATGACTGTGATGGATATAATTAAGGTAAAAGTTCTTTAAAATAAAGATTTTTCCCTTCTCAGGAGAACATACATCTCTGTAACCACAAAAAAAAAAAAACCAAAAAAAAAAAAAAAAACAACAACCAGAAAAATAAGAATCATCCAGCATTTTGTGAAATAAAAAACTTGGTCAAACTATTGTTCAATGTGCACTTAGTCTTTGTCTTCATGTTCTGATGTTGTTCAAACAGCAGACTTAAAAGAAAATAATGTCAATGAATCCTCCCAGGCACTATACATGACCTCTAGGGTAATTAGCAATCACTGAAAAGCAACAAGACTAAAATGTTCTATTCTTTATTACTGTCAGCTCTTATCTTGATCAGCATTTTAATAAAGATGGTTCGTTCGGAAGACAGTTCCATGAATCAGTCATAATTACATCCTGACACACAGTGAATAGTAAAGCAATACTAAATATCACTTCATCAACCTTTCTAACCTTTATGCAAGTATTAACAGTAAATAATTTTTACACAATCCAACAACAGAAAATCTGCATATATCTTAGCTTTGTACAGACTCTACCCCAAGTGAATTTCCTGTGACCTATACCAGCAAAAACACAATTGGGCATAATTATCCAAGCTTCAGAGATATTCAGGTGTTGCTTTTTTCAGAGTGTACAACTTCAAGTACAAAAGGCTACTTGTTCTATATAATAAGCCCTCAAAGGGTTAAATTAAACACTCGTTTCCTTTTCCTAATAACAGCAACTCTGAAGCATGGCAAGCTCATGCTGAAAAACTCATGGCATTCCTTAACGTAACTGTTTAGTTGTATATTTTTGAATACCAGAAATCTAAAAAGACACCCTAAATGGATTAAATCTTTAAGCTAAGATACACAGCAATCTGATGACTCTGTTTGCTAAGTTACAGAGTTTGATGACAAAATGAAAAAGAATGAGTCCTCTATGGGCTAATTAAATCATATTAGCATTTCTTGATATTTGCAGAAAGTTTTCAAATTGCTTGAACTATTGTTTAAACAATTTTACGATTTATTCCTTATATTTTAAAATAATACAGATCTGTACAAAATGAACAAGGTTTCTTTTCCAAAACAGTATTGTTCTCTGGAATTTCATCTGAATACATTTAGCTTCTGAATTAGTTTCTAATTCTAATTGGATATTTTGCTAATTGTTGCCACATAGAGGCATATATTAATAGCAATTAATATATGCCTCTATGACAAAGATGGTAAAATTTGCAATGTAAAAAAAACAAAAAAAATGCAGCTATAAGGCAGTTTGTTTTTTCAAGATTTCTTGGGTTTTTTTTTGTTCAGGTACAACATGTAAATCAAATCTTGATCTTTGATGGGATATTTTGAATTAGCCATAAAAGTATTCATATTTGTCACACAAGCAGCAAATAGAACTATATTTTCAGATTTCTTAACATTATTCAAATAAGTAGAAGTGAAAAAGGTAAATAGCGTGTTAGAATAAAACTATCAGACATTAAAAGATATAAATACAGGTATGTAAATACACTATTCTGATGTACTTCTACTTAGAATGAAATATTCTGACTAGATTTCCACTCTTTAAACTTGGATTTGCACTTTTCTGCATTGGTCTTTCCTTTTGACAAATATTCAAATACGAAGGGTGGAAAAAAATGAAGAAAGACGTGTTGATTTTTGAAACTAGCTTTCCCACAATACAAAAGTGATTAAGATCTAAGCAAAGGCTAAGGATGGCTTATGCCTAACTCTGATGAGGTCCAGTACCTCATTACCCACAACTAAAAACTTCTGCTGCATTTTGTTTCAAGGGAATCCAAAAGTCCTTGCTGTAAAGCAGACTTGGGGGTGGGGGCTGTTGGGGGGGGCACAGTGCATTCAGTCTTTCTGTATCACAACCATTATGAAAGAAGTATAAAACACTGCCTTTATGCTGCCAAGCCACAATGACTCCTCTTACATCAAAGCAGTTTTGCCACTTGGATTTGTTCCTTCCAAATTTATTCAAGCCAAGGGCAGGGAGACAACAATTCATACACACTAATTATATCTAATTATCTATTCCTCCCCCCCTCCCTCAACTTTCAACCACCGTTATTTGCTATTTGGGTTTCTCACAACCTTCTCTTGCCCTGTCCATCCAGCTCCACAGTAAGTCTTTGAAGAAAACAGTTGTGGCTTTTTTGAATATTCACCACGTATGGTTCAAACTATTCCCATTATTCTTAACACAATTTAGCTGCTAAATTTGAAGACCCCTTTTCTTAATCTGCCAAATTTCTAACAATTCTGCATGAAGAAAATTGCCAATGATATGCTTTTCTTCTTCAGGAGCTTCTCTTCTCCTGATGCTTTCTTTTCATGAGCTCAATGAAATGTTTATTGGATTAATGTTCTTCTCTGTGGACCTTCCTGGAGCCTGTGATAAATCCCTTACAAACTTTATTAACTGGCTGAGACTTTGGGGAATGGGCTATACAGAAAGATGGGGCTCAGCTTTATTTCATATTGTACTACAAGCAAAGAGAAGTGCCATATGCTAATTAAGCAAACACATCCCAATACCTGAAGAAAACACTATTAGGTAGCTGTTCCAAAATGTGTGCAACTTGTTTGAACCAAAGAGTTAATTTGCTGAAGCAGGATTAAAAGAGTCATTAATATTAAAATAAAAAGGGAAGAGAATGTTAAGAGTTTGCTGCAATTATTTTAACATTAGGTGACAATTTGTTTTGAAAAATGAAGAATGGTCAAACAATGGCCTGGGAAAAATAATTGGCACTTATGTACACACTTACATACAGACGCAATTTACTTTTCTACAGTTTCAAAATAACTTCATTGAATCCAAATGTTTTAATAACTGTTGCCTGGTTCTTGAATATTTAATTTGTGTTGTGGTTCTAGAAGAGACAAAATGAATAAATGCATTCAGTGTACTCTTGAGTCCCATTCTATAGGAAACCTTTAAGGGGAGCAAACAAAAGTCTTAAGTTCTAATTTTGTAGGCTAAAGCATAGATGCTTTCAGACAAAATGCTTAAGATGAGATCACATTAAAAGCAGTCACAGAACAGGACTATGTAGTGAACGTGAATCTAAGTCAAAACCTATTCTAGCATTTTATTATATTCATGAGTGTATGCCTGCATGTGTATAGACACACAGAGCCTCTTTTTTTTATTATATTAAGCCCAGTGATTCCCAACAACGGAACTGCATTGTATATCCCAAAAGTAATCCATTTAATTAATACAGAGAAAAGAGAAGGACAGAGTCTACAACTGCCACAGCTTGGGAAAGAAAGACTTCTATTGAAGACTTGCTTGGCTTCTCACTAAGAAAGAAATCAAAAGGCCTAACATCTTCAGCACTGAAAAAGTCAATAGATAAGTGAAGACATCACAATATCAAAGACTTAATCCCAGGAATTCTGACTCAGGTGACAGCTTAGCAGAGGTCAGGGTGCTGACACTGACCACAAAAGCAACTTTAAACTATTCAGTGTACTGAAAGCTACTAGGCTATCGCCGCCTTAGAACAGAATTAACTGACAAATCAGTTTAATCACCAGAATGACTTTTTTAAAGAAATCAGAAGAAACAAATTTGTTCAGTCTTACACAGGTGGCCCGACAAAGGCAGAACACATCAGAAACATTTTATATTTTCTCACTGGTGCTAAAAGATGCAATTTTGCCCTCAAATGGCTCAGAATTTGCCAGGCTGTATAGAGAGAACCATTCTTGAGCCAACATAATAGTAGTTATATATACTTTATTATCACTAACAAGTTCGAGGCCATGCAAATAATAATTTAGCAGGGATAAAGCCAGCACTGTTGTAAACAAGCCAATAACCTAATCTAAAATTTATTCAAAGACAAGTTTCATAAAATGAAGCACAACTGATTTCCATGGAAATATGCAGCTGCAATACTACCACTTAAACAATAATAAGAGATGTAGGAGAAGTTCAAGAATAGTAAGTGCTGAAGTGAAATTAGGTCACTATACAGACCACAAAACATGAAATTTAAAGAAAAGAAAAACAGAAATCATTTTTTGGGTCCCAAAAACGAAAGATGACAATTGACATAATATACTAACACAGAAAAAAGATGCTCCATTGATTTCAATTAATACAAAAGTAGTTTCACATTTGCAGACTTTAGCATCTTCTACACAATTTTATGAGTTTATATTTTCCATAGAACTCATGTGCTGCTGATTACTTCGACTGTAAGAAAAGCTACAGACTTATTTAAAAATATTATCCCTTTAATTGCTTATTTTATATAGAGATGATTCAATCAAATAAAGCATTTTAAAATCTCATTAATTTTCAAGGAAAGGATTTAAATATATAAATGCAATGCATTTCCTATATAACAGTATTTACTGATGTTTTTTGTATTGATCAAAATCATTGTACACATATACATACCAATGGTGGGTTGTGGATTCCATTCCAACCGGTATGGTTGGAACAGGCTTGCCGGCATCCATGTGGACGCGTGCAGCATGCGCACATGCGGCTTGGCACTTCCGCAACGCTCCAGCTGCTCAGCGGAGCATCATGCAGGCGCTATACGCGCTGTGAGCATGTGTGGAAGCACTGAAGACGTAAAAGGATGGTAAGAAGCGAGGGCAGGCAAGTGGGCCCTCTGGAGCACCGTACCGGAATGGTATCCGATGCTCCTGGCTGTCTCCGGTACTCCCGTACCAAGGCATACCACCTGCAACCCACCACTGATACATACCTACATAAACATACATACATACAGAAACACAGTATACATATTTCATAGGCACATTACTGAATATCAGAGGCCCCCCCAAAAAAAAAAATTCCCCCTACTGTACTGAAATACTAAATTATTATAATACGTACCAGAAATCAGTAACAAAAGAATCCGATGCAAGATCTCTTAAACCACTGAGACCCTTTTGAATTTACCCTGAATTTTTATGAGGCCTCAGTTAAATGAATTAAAAGTGAATGTAGATAGTTCTTGACTTGCAACCACAACCAAACCAAAATATCTGTTGTTAAGTGAGTTTTGTCCCATTTTACCTTTCTTAACACAATTGTTAAGTGAATCACCGCAGTTGTTAATTAGTAACATGGTTCTCAAGTGAATCTGGCTTCCCCAATGACTTTGCTTGTCAGAAGGTCAAAAAAGGTGGCCACATGATATCAGGACACTGCAACCATCATAAATACATGCCAGTTGCCAAGCTTCCAAATTTTTATCACACGACCATGGGGATGCTGCAATGATCGTAATGGTCACTAAAACGAATGGTTGTAAGTTGAGGACTATCTGTACCTGTTCTGGTGTAAGTTCCTCCTTCTCTTCCTGGTAGTTTTTTTAAACACAGAAAAAGCCAATGAAATTTGGGAAGCCACAATGTAGCCATGCAACCCCACAGTTATATAAATAATTCCCCCTTGCTTCTTTTGCATTTAATAAGAAAATATGGATTTAGGGAACCATATTCACTATAGTAACTTTTAAAAAGTTAGTTCTTCAACAAAAATATGAAAAAGCAAAAACAATGCCATGTTAACAAAAATAAATGTTTCAAGGGTATTATATTACTTTTACCAGAAAGATCATCTGATCCCATCTAAGGAAGAATGGCTTACTAAGTTATGGAAATACACATTGATGTCTAAATTAACATCCCCTTTTAAAAGTAATACATGGATTTATACTACATTAAAATGTGGATTTCTCAATATATAAAATTTATATTTTTGTTTTACAAGGTATCAAAAATACAAGATATTTAATAAAAGATTGAAATTATGATTCATACATACACAATTCTTGATATTCATTTTTGGTTTAAAGTATAATAGTGATTTTTACTCTGCTAAAGTGATATAATACATTCAATTATTTACTAGCAATGTTATACTTGAAAATTTTATCTCTATTATAGCTTCTCCTTTATTCATCTATATTTTACTTTTTATTCCTTCTGGGTTTTTCATGCTTGCTTATATATCTTCCCTAATGCTTAATAACTTTTTAAATAATAATTATTTAAAAATATATTTATTACCTTTAGTACAGCAATAAATGGCACAAAGTTAACTCTCTGGAGCCCATTTTTATAGAGATCTGAAAGAAAAGATATTGTGTTATCTTCGCTATGTCCTTTTCCTAAAATTCTCTATTATTATATTGCTCATGATCAAGGACTAAAAACAGAAAAATACATTGTTAATTTCACTCCAATCTAAAAATGATATAATTAACAGCAGAAGCACTGTATCAACTTCAATACAATTGCTAATACTATAAATGTGTCAGAGATAGATAGGGAGATACTGTCACATACAAGAAAATGAAAGTTACTGTTTCCATAAAGTACACAGCAAATTAAAAAGCAGAAAATGTAATTGTATTTACTGTACATTCTTATCATTTGCTTATTTTGTAGCAATTTTTTGCAAAAATGCTACAAACAAATAAATAATTAAAATGGCATGCAGCATTGTAATAGCAAAATCTTTGCCATTCAAAAAGCAAGTTGGGTAATTATGTCTCCATCCAAGGCAACTGTCTCTACCCGTGCCTTGGTGACAAAATTACCACGTTGCTATTACAGATGCAGCCAGCATCCATACACAGGACATATAAAATAACTTTTCCAACCAAGCAATTCTTAGTATATTTAAACGTGGTTGTGTCCTCCAACCAAACATCCCAAAGACCAAACATTACTATAAGAATAAATAGACCAAAAAGGCAAATTGGAATGGGTAATAATAAAATATAAAATACACTTTGTAGGTCTTATCTGCAATCCCACAGAAAAATACAAGTAATTCAAACTGGCCAATAAAAATCAAAAGAACAAAAAAGGGAAATTACACAGCTACTTACTGCAGGTAGTCCTCTACTTATGGCCAGAATGGAGTCTATCTATCATGGTCGTTAGGCATGATGATTATAAAGTGGCTCACCCACATCACCAACCTGCTTTTATGACCTTTTTTGTGATGATCGTTAAGAAAACACTGTGGTTATAAAGTCAACCCATTGTTCATTATGGGCCAATTTTGCTGAAAAATGGACATAAATGCTGATTCACAGCAAAACTGTTGTGAATCGTGACCCGTCAAAACCACGGTCGACAAAAGCGCGCTCGATGAAAGCGCGTACCTGACGTCATCAGCAGCGCGATGAAAAAAATTAAAAAATTAATTAAATTAAAATTAAATTAAAGCAAGCCGATTCACATAAAGGTAAGGGTTAGGTTTAGGTTTAGGTTTAGGGTTAGGTTAAGGGTTAGGGTTAGGTTTAGGGTTAAGCGTTAGGGTTAGGGTTAGCGTTAGGTTAAGGGTTAGGGTTAGGGTTAGCGTTAGGTTAAGGGTTAGGGTTAGGTTTAGCGTTAGGTTTATCGTTAGGTTAAGGGTTAGGTTTAGGGTTAGGTTTAGGGTTAGGGTTAGGTTTAGGTTTAGGGTTACGTTAAGCGTTAGGGTTAGGTTTAGCGTTAGGTTTATCGTTAGGTTAAGGGTTAGGTTTAGGGTTAGGTTTGGGGGGTTAGGGTAAGGTTTTCGCTTTAATTTTAAATTTACCGCTCACAGCGCGATGTTTTCGTCGCGCTGTGATGATGTCACGTACGCGCTTTCGTCGAGTGCGCTTTTGTCTACCGCGGTTTTGTGGTGGAACCGTTGTGAATTGCAATCACGTGATCATGGGATGCTGCAAATGGCCATTAAACATGGGCTGAATCCCGAGCACCCAACGTGCGGTCATGTGACTGTGAGGGAGGGACTACTGGAACTTCGGAACTGGATCATAAGTATCTCCAGGGAGGTTCATCGTCACTATGAATAGTCACTAAACCACCTGTCTTAAATCAAGTACAACCTGTATTCTCAGGGATTTGATAGCCATGTTGACTTCTGGAATAGAAATTTGGGAATACATCTTAAATTTGAATCAATTAAGCATCCTGATAAAAGGATATTTTATAATCCAGCTCTAAATACAGATCACATAGAGCCATGATGGCGAACCTACGGCACAGGTGGCACGCGGAGCCATTTGTCAGGGCACGAAAGGCAATGCCCTGTTAGCTGGCCAACACACATGGGAACGCTGGCCAGCTGACTTCGCCCTTCTTTTGAGGCTGTTTTCCCCTCTCGAGACTTCCCTGAAGCCCCTGAAGTGCAAAAAACCGGCTGTACGGGCAAACCGGAAGTTCGGGAACAGACTTTTGGTTTGCTCTTGGGACCATTTTTTTGTCCTCCAGAGCCTTCAGGGAAGCCTCCTGAAGGCTCCGGGGGTCAAAAATCAGCCCTATGGGGAACCCGGAAGTCACTTATGGTTTGCTCATAGGGCTGGTTTTGCCCTCCAGAGCCTTCAGGGAAGCCTCCTGAAGGCTCTGGAGGTTGAAAATAGGCCCTATGGGGAACACATGGTTTGTTTGTAGGCCGGTTTTGCCCTCCGGAGCCTTCAGGGAAGCCTTCTGAAGGCTCCAGAGGTCAAAAATTGGCCCTACGGGGAACCCGAACTTCCAGTTTGTCTGTAGGTCCATTTTTTGCCCTCCAGAGCCTTCAGGAAAGCCTCCTGAAGGCCCCTGAAGGCTCCGGAGATAAAAAAAAATCAGCCCTACGGAGAAACCAGAAGTCACCATTCCTGAATTTCCAGGTTCCCCATAGGTCCGTTTTTTTGCCCTCCGGAGGCTTTAGGGAAGGTCCTAAGGACTCCGGAGGGCGTCCGGGGGGAGGGCAGCGAGGCTGTTTTCGCCCTCCCCAAGCTCCTAGAAAGACTACGGAGCCTGGGGAAGGCGAAAAAACCACGGCAAAGGCAGGGAGGTCGCTGATCATGCACATGCACGCACATAGCATTATGGGTGTGGCACACCGGCACACAACCTCCCTGTGCTCTCCCTGCTTTTGGCACAGCAGCCAAAAAAGGTTTGCCATTACTGACATAGAGGATTGTTTAGGGCTGATTACTACATTTAAATTCTTCTTTGTGTCTGTACAAGTAGTTGGAAAAGATAGTGGTTTCAATAGTTCGCTATACAGATCAATAAATATATTGATACTGAACATAATTTTCATTCATTAGTAACTTTATGTGATCCCAAGAAAAATAATTTAGGGAATTTGGATGATCTTTATGTCTCTTTTGTGTTTTTGACATTCAGTAGGCAATTCTGATACTTTTTTAATATCAAGCCTTTATAAACATGACTCCAGGGAAGACAGAAGTAATAATGAGTGCTAGGAAAGAATAATAATGGCAGAGAAGGAAAGTCTTTAAGTCACTGATGGTCAGCCTTTGCTTCTCGCCCAAGTTTGCAATTTTCAGGTTTTCCTGACTCCATTTCTATGTCTTGCAACTTCAGGTTTTTAAGAGTATTCTTTGATACTCTTCACTATTATCATTTGGCTAAAAATTATTTGTAAAAATAATAAAAACGAGATACAAATAAACAAATAAAAATCTGAGCTTTTCCATAGCTTTTGGATTTTGCTCTTGATTTTATAAAAATATAAAATATCTAGGGCTGCATTCATTAGAGTGTAACAAGTTTAGCTGTTATTAAGACAACCCGTGACTCATTGGGTCATCATTTCAGAATTATCTGATTCCTCAACGTCTTCCACAATGACAGAGCTGCTAATGGACTGGAAAAATTCTTCAAAATTCAACATTTCCAAGATGAGTCTGCCTTGAAAGCAGACCATGTTGAACTGTAGAGTACAGTCAAACATCGGGAGTTGAATAGAGGAAATGTTTTATGACTTTTGCATTATGTCATAAAATTCTGAATGGTAATTTCATGTCATAAAATGTTTTTTTAATGTATCACATTTGCATAGGAGTCACGGGTCCCCAGATTTTGGACACACTTCGTAAGCAAGCCCGTTTGAGGTATCTGGGTTTTAAAAGTTTTGCCAAGTGATAAACAGATTCACACATGAGTTTTAGAAGCATATAGACAGAAAAGAACAGCATTGTCACTTGGCAGAAATGAAGTACTAGGGTCACATTACTGTATGCCAATTCTTCAGCAACTATTATAATTCTTGTTTATGTTCAAAGCACAATTCAATGTATATAATTACACACATGTTATAATTCAGTTTGATGAAGATAATACATCATTTTATTTTTAATGACTGGTCTCAATTACTAAACTATGCTTTTAAGAATGCCATACAAAGTTGAAACATAAAATGTAAATACAAATATTTCTAAGATTTTGAAATAGATCTAATTAAGACAGTAAAACTACACAAGCTTAAAAAAAAGCAGGCAGAATAACATACTACATAAAATCTGTTTGGCCAGTAGGGTTTTCATTCCACCCAGCGATGCGTAGCAGCTGTTGACTTACAAATATATTTAGCACTACCCTGCTTCCCTGAAAATAAGACCTTCCTGGATAATAAGCCCAATCGGGCTTTTGAGTGCATGCACTAAAATAAGCCTTCCCTGAAAATATTACAACATAGCAGCAGCCATGAGGTGACTACGCTTGCCGCCTCCTGCACCTCAAAAATAATAAGACCTTTCCGAAAATAAGGTCAAGTGCTTATTTCGGGGGTTAAAAGAAAATAAGACCCTGTCTTATTTTTGGGGAAACACAGTGGTAATTGGTTTAGCTTGTTTAGTCGCAAGCCCTTCAGATTCCAACAACCCTAATCAGCAAGATCAAAACTGAGGTACAGGTGGTCCTCACTTAATAATGGTAACTGGGACCAGAATTTCCACTGCTAAGCGACGCAATTGTAAAGTGTGACATCACGTAATCACTTAGCGAAAGCAATCCTAGCACTCTCCACTGTCATTGTTAAGCAAGGATCATGGTTGTTAAGAGAGGACCCCCTCACAACGTCTTGCTGGCTTCAAATGAGAAAAAGCAATGGGGAAGCTAGCAGAAGTCACAATTCCAGGGCGATTTTCAAGCAGATTAGCAGGCAGCTAAGTGCAGGCCATAGTACAGGCATGGCCAGGTTGGGAGAGTGGGTATCACTGCCAGGCATGGGATGGTATGCAGATGGTCAGTGCAGCATGAGCACAGAGATGGCTACTTCCACGTGAAAGAGAGGGCACAGGTGGGTGCTGCGGCACTGCACCAGCATAACAGGCCAGCCACACTTGCATGACAGTGCAGACTGACGCATCCTACAAGGCATGAGATGCCCAGGATTGTGGGGATTATTGACTTTGTTTGTGAGAAGTGGACAGGGAAGTCACAAATGTGGTCATGTCACTACAGGATGCTGCAACCATCGCGACAGCTGATTGCCAAGCATCGAACTTGCAATCATGTGACTGCAAGGGTTCTGGAATGGCTGGAACTTTGAGGACTGGTCATAACCATCACTCATTCAGCACCGTTATAACTTCAAACTACTTGAATAAGTAGTTCAATTATCTGTATGCTGGAAATAGTTATTTTAATAACATTTGAAAGGACACGGGTTCCCATCCCACTCTAGCCATCAACAAACAGAACACTACTTTAAGATGATAGTTTGGATCATCTTAAATACTAAACAATATTTTATGGTATAATATTTCATGAATTGAAGTGGACTAGACTGTTGAAAGCATAATCCCAAATGAGAAAAATGCAAAACATTTAAGTGGTGAATGGATTCTGTTATTATTTCCTCTTGCATTCTCACTGGCTATTATTGTGAATGGCCCAAACAGCTTATAGCTGTGATCGGAGGCAACTTACAAAACATATCTAAATATATAAATACCCACACATTATGTGACTTTCTCTGTACTTGCTTTGGAATAAATATTATTGACTTCAGATTAAATATTCTATAACGCTTTGCATTCGCTGTGCTATTTTTGTAGCATAATTTACTTTTGCCTATTTTATATTAATTATATGTCTTTTAAGGAGTTAAGGGCAATACACACTTTCCTTCCCCTTTGTACAGGGAGAAGCTACATACCATTAACTCTGTTGTTCTTCCTCTAAGTCCCCTGCCCTGCTTCTATTTCTTACCTTTTTGTTTCAAAGGACAATTGGTTCTTCAATGTTTTAAGGAAAGAGTAGTTGAATCTGCCTTAACTGAAGGGACTTTCATTCAGAAAAGGAGAACAATGCTAACAGAAAACATCTTTCTGAGAGCGCAGTTCTTCTATTTATAACTGACTACTTTAGATCCCACTCAATGCACATTGATATCATTTATTTTTATTACTTTTAATAGAAACCACGAAAGAATTTAACGTATGACATAGTTATATCTTAAGACTTAAAAGTGCAAACATGGTAAAAGAGACAGTGTTAACCAGAAACAGATCACACATACAGTCAATTTAAGTTGTCTTAAATACGTACGTTCATTAAAAAAAAACAGGATCAGCATATTGTTCATTATTACCTTCTGGTGGCCTGTTTGATGTGGCTACAACGATGACACCGTTTTGGAACAGGTTTTCAAAAAGCTGTTTGAGAATCATAGCGTCAGCAATATCTGTGACCTGAAGAAGACAATACTATTATTGTCAAAAGCAGATCTTGACTTGTACAATTGACAAAGCTGCATCCAATTTGCTTTGAGGGTTTTTATTTTCTGTCTTGTTTTTAGTCAGAAGAGAGGTTTGTTGGTTCAAAGGCAAAAGATTCTATGTTGCCACTTGAAGAAAAAATGTGGGTGGGACGGGACATAATAAGCAGGGAGTATGTAGAATTCTTTTCTCAAGACAAGTCTTTATTCCAGATTGCTATACAATTCTGGTTAACTTCCATTCGAAAACTCCAGTTGGGAAAGAAGAGATTTAAGATTTAAAAAGCCCCTTAGTTTGAAACACTTACAAATACATAGACCTGCCAGAAGATCAGGAAAGAAAATACACACCAGCTGCTCTACATTTCTATTACCTTTCCAGAAAAGGTTCACAGAGGTGACTTTAAATGGTCATGGGACTTTTAGAAAATAGGACAAGTGGCCAAGTATACATCATCAGCTGCTGTTGAAAATAGAATGATATGACATAGATACTATTGTGCGATTGTTACACAAAACAATTCAACAGATGGCCCATCACAAAAAAATAAGCAATTTCATTGTTCTTTTTAAGTGCCTTCTATTACTGTCCATGAATAATCAAAAAGGCACTGCAGTCAGTTCCAGCACAGTCAGCCTCTTCTAACCTTCACAGACACAAATCATTCTCTCATACAGAGATACACACACACTCTCTTAAATGAAGAAGGGGGAGCAACAATTCATGACAAAAAGAAACTTTTGTCTGAGGATTTTCACTTCCCCACTTATTGTTCCTCAAATCATTACAGCTGTGCTAAAGACACTAATTTTATTATATGCAGAACTTCACTTAAATATGTAAATTCCCAACAGATGAATACTACCAATATAAAAGAGGAACACGATAAAACAGGCTGAGAAAAAACATTCCCACCCCAAACCTCACAACTATTCCCACCCTATACCTAGGAGACTTCCACATGTTCTTCCATGCTTCTGCCTTTGGAAACTGCTCTACCTAAATCAAGTTATACATCTTTTAGGTAATTGACTATTTTCTTAAAATGAGCAGGCAGGCAACTACAAGTGTAGAGAGGCAGTGAAGAAAAATACAATCTAACAAATTAAAACTTAGTGTCTTTGAGCCTGTCAATAAGGAACAAAAACAAAATCAGAAAGGCATTAGGTAACTAAAAGCAGGTATTCATTTTGATGAGACCTCTAAAACAGGTAAAATAAGACAGGAGGAAGAAAAAAAGAATCTTCCGCTTGAGAAATAGAAAACTATACGGAACAGGACATATTTAATTTCCCAAAGGAACATTTCCGATAAAGCATAGCAGCTTGGAACATTAAATAGAGAAAAATTTATGACCGGAGAAAATACAATGAGGACGTAGTTGGTCTTTTGCTCTTGCAGAATTTAAATCTACTTGTCTACCAAAAGTGATTTATTTTTTTAAGTTACATAATTTTTAAAAAAGCAAGAGTCATTTGGTATATTTAATGCCAATTTAGGTCCTTTTGATCCTCTGTAGCTTTGGAGAGGAAGACAAAAGTGAAAGCATCTCAAAGCTCAGGTTCTGTCTGTGCTCAGCATTCATTATGGATGTGAACAAAAGAAAAGAATACAAATTACCAATAAGAGATGTCTGCTAATGGAGAGAATGGTGAAATTTCATTTGCATTTAAGAGAAAAGATTTGTATGACCTAGAGCTGCTTTCTTCTCACGTAAGTTTTTTATTTAAAAAAATCTAAATAATGTGTGTGTCTAAGTACCTGATCCCCAGTTATCCTCTGATTGGTACAATTTCTTGGGATGAATAGTAAATATAAGTATGTTTAAGTAATTAGTGTTATCACAAAAACAGGAGTGTAACAGTGCAATCTTAGACATGTTTTACTCTGAGGTCCTCCTGCATTTAATGAAACCTGCTCCTACCAAGTATTTAAAATTGTTTTCTTCGCTTGTCTTACAAGCACTGCCTACAGTATATAACAATATTACTTTACTCTTTACAAGTATCCTGAATCCCAAGCCCAACCACTCTTTTCCTGATATTTATATGAAAACAAAGTTATTTCATGTCTGAAATGCCTGGGTTATTTTTAAGTAGAGATATAGAACATGACATCAGACTAAGGCAGTGTAACCAAAAGGAGGATTCATAGTTGGTCCATAAGCAGCTGAATGAAATGACAGACGTGCATAATGTGAAGGTTGACACAGACCATTAGCCTCCACAACCTTGCCAGAAGGCTGTATACCATTTTATGTTGAAAAGTGCCCATGGGGATTTCATGTGCTAAATCAAGGATTTGTTCTTCTTCTTTTTATTTAAAGAGAAGCTTATTTTAATGCAACACTGGGGATTGGGAAGAGAGGGTGGTGTGTGGGTGTGGAGGAATGATACCAAAAGTACCAGCCAGTCACTCAGTTTCTGCTATAAAACTGCAGCTCTGCTTCTCTTTCTTGAATCTAGAGAGGGGCAAATGTCTATAGAGTTTCTCAGTCATCCCGGTCATGGTTGTCCCAAAAGTGTTTTCTTTCAAATGAAAACTGGACGTTTTTGTCCAGTTGCCTTTTGAAAGAAAGCACCTCTGAGAGGGGCATTTTTGGACTAACTATGGCATTACTGCTTTACTCTAGAGTCTAGACAATTGCCTTCAGCCCAAGCAAATTCAAGGCTTCAGATTTGGCAAAGGACAAATTTTAAGACAAAATCCACAGCAGGTCCAAATGCACAAATCTCTTTTTTTTTTTGTTTGAGCAACCTAATATCATAGAAGGAAGCCACACTTAACAAAGTTATCAACAACAAACTAGTAAATAAATACTGTAAATGCTTTTTAATGCATTTTCAGAATATCTTACCATATCCAACAACAAATAAAGGCAACTGGGAATCCAGTACTCCACGTTTGAGGAAAATCAACTTTTGTGGGAGCTTAATCACTGGAGGCTTTCAGTAAGAAATTGGATTGCCATTTGTCAGGAATGGTGTAGGGTCTCCTGCTTGGGTGGGGGGTTGGACTAGATGACCTACAAGGTCCCACCCAACTCTGATAATCTAATCTAATCTAACTATGGAAAGTGAAGCATCATGTTTTGGTCTTAAACCAATGAAAGAAAAGTATCATAAAAATATTAGTTTGCTGGACTGCAGAATCTAAAAAGTGAGACAATACTCCACAACTATCACAACTATTCAACGGAGGCACTCAATGTGGCGTGAGTGGGAAGGCAGAACAGCAGAGTTATATCTTATGCTACTTTTAAATAATGCAAAGTTTAATGAAGCTTCAATTCATTTAGGACAGGGATCTACTGTAATATATATATATATATTTATCAGCACAAATATAACAAATGTAACAAAAAGGCAACAGTAAAAAATATTGGGTTTCTGTCTGGATGGTCTCTTGTGACGAGCCGAAGGACAGAGAATGGAAGTGTGACCTTCCTCCCATATTTGGGCATACCAGGGGTTGTGACTTTAAATATATACCTTTCACCCTGGCCTGGCTGATAAGGAGTCGAGCTCTGTAGCTCAATGGTTAACACATCTGCCTAAGAGGCAATAGAGCACAGGTTCGATTCCCAGCAAGGGTATGGCTAGCTGATGAGAGCTAAATAGCTTGAAATAGATCTATACTAGTCTCCCTTTATTTATTTATCAGCACAAATATAACATACATATATATATATATTAAAAAGAGGAAATAGATACATTGTGTGTCTGTGAAACTGTGAGGAAAATAATAAGTTTGAGTAATGGTGGTCTGTTCTTTTAAAGTGAAGTTTATGAATACATTCAAAAAGTTCACGATGTATTTAATTATGAATGAAAGGGCTAAATGTCTATATGTGAAAAATGAATTAATGTGATGTAAGTTAAAGTGAATGCATATAAAAGTAGGAAACCATAGGTTGTTAGTTAGAACTTAACATTCCAATAAAAAGTGATAAGGAAAAATAGGGATAAGTTTTAGGGGAAAATGTGCAACAGTCTGTGTGAATGTGATTCAGTGGAAAATTTATTTTGTTGGGTAATGTGAATAATGGATGAAAATTAGATGAGAAAGTAAAATGATTGGGCCATTCAGAGATATAAGTAGTAATGGATATTCTTTGGTGAACTCCACATTCAGGTTGTGAATGTGAGACATATGGTGGAGGGAAGGGCAGGGAGGGGAAGGAGACCTGAGTTGAGCTGTGTTGAGTTGAGCTGAGGAACTAGAAGATAATGTTTGAATGGTTTATGGAAAAAAGTATTAGGAGATAGATTAATTTAACAACAAAATGAATGGAAAGTGAATAAAAGAAAACAAAGTTAAAAGAATCATGTTACAGAGTACAACAGAAATGTCTATATTAATAGAAACTATGGAAAAAATGCAAGATATAAGAATGAGGAATGAAAATGCTGTAGATGAAAAAAATACAGGGAAGAGTTATTGCTAAGATGATGAGAGAGGTTATACAATGTGTAGTGTGATACTTGTTGCAAGAAAATAGTAAAAGAAACCAAAGCCAAACTTTTAAGCAAAGAATTTTATAGGAATAATTGTCTTAGACATGGGAAAAGAGGACTAAACAAGGAGCTTCTTCTAGAGTAAATTCAACTATAAATAACAGTTATAAAAATATGGTGGATAAATTCTAAAGATTTCAAATTTTCATCTCCAAAAATGTGTGAGAAAAAAAAAGCTTTTTTAAAATAAGACAATGAATCTTGATAGCCATTGCGGCATAAATTATTTTTTATCTTTGCGTATGTTAAGTACAAGATGAAACATTTTGCTCATATATTTCTTATAATATAATAGATTTTTGTATAATAGAAAATCTAATGTTGTTTCTGTTATTAGTATAGTTTACCCAAAATTCAGATCTACCATCACTACCTTTGAAATACCTACTCATCTGTATAATTCATTAAAACTGTGCTTCATTAAATTTCATCTTTGTGATAGTCCATTAATACCCGCTGGCTATTCACTCTAAAGCTTACCTCAGATACCCATTCAACAGTATCCAAGGCTTAAAGTCAAGGTATATTACACATACTAGATCTCCATAGCCCACTATGCCAGTTTTGTATCAAAGGAGGAAATTAGGCTAGACTGGTGTAATTTGCTTTTGGCTAATTCAAGCTACTTATCATATTCCCTATTCTCTACTGGTCATTTACAAGTGGCCTGTGGCTCAGTAGCAGGATATGCTAGGGACACAATGGGATTATAAGGACTTTAATGATGAACTCCTCAACAGATTTATCACCTGTCAGGAAACAAACACATTTGATTGCCTTGTGCCACCTTGATTACTGTTAACCCAGCTGTGAATTTTCATATGCCAAGTAGAATGAATATATATATTTCTGCTCTATGATATATATTGATATATCATAGAGCAGAAGTGGCAAGAATTCCCAATGACTATGTCCAACCAACAAAAAGGAGAGCTCTGATCTAGGTTTCTTAAACTTCCAAACTAAAACCAAACTGATAACTTCTTCTGTCAACTAAAAATTACAGAAAATCCTGCTTTCAGCTTTAAAGCATAAAAATGCATCCTCAAAATTAAAAAAGAACTTTGTGGAATAGGGAAGTTATGAAATGGAAATACTTCATTAAACACGGAAAAAAGAATGCACTTCAATTCAGAAATATATTCATTGCTCGAGCACAGCTATTTTCTTCTCCTTCCAAAAATATACTGTTCTATGACTGCAATGCAAGAAAAACTAGTAAGTATCAGTACTGTCCATAATAATTGGGACTCTAAGAAAATCAGAATACTGGGTGTCACATTTTAAATGGCAATGTTAAAAGGAGAGAATCAGTTTGGTATAGAGCAGTGGTCCCCAACCTTTTTATCGCCGCGGACCAGTCAGCCTTTGATAATTTTGCCGTGGCCCGCTGAGCGCGCGCA